ATGTGGCCCGCGGGCCATAGTTTGAGGACACCTGGTCTATCCTGAACACAGGAGAGTAAACCGTGTAAAATGGGTTAGATGGCAGCTGTGTGTACGCCCACGAGAGGCAATAAATAAAATAATACATGCACGTGACCGTAATGAAGTTCTTGGTAAGTTATGTATTGTCAGAGAGTGGACAATGCAGATAGTGGGATTTTGGTAAGTTTTTATGAAGAAGTTGGGCCAGCCTAGAAAGATAGATGGAATTGTTCTCTTTTCTTTCTGTTGCTTTGGAGAAACATGTTGGGCAGTGCAGAGGTAGCGATGTGTCCCTAAAAACATGGAAGTAAGAATGTCTCCTGAGGATAAACTATAAAATTGATAATTAAAGGGTGAGAGTGGAGATACGCAAAGTGATTTTGAGGAAACAAAATTTTACCAGGCCTTCAAACACTGACACGGTCCTAAAGAAAGACTGTGGATATCATTCAGTGTAAGGCAGAACTACTAAAGCAGGGAATTTAAAAAAAAAAAAAAAAGGCACATCTGCCCCAGAGGAATCCAAGCCTTCCCCCTGGGGGAGATGGCATCCCTGCCTAAGAGTAGGATCTTTCCTGGGCTCTTCTGAGTTGAGGCGGTGCTTTTCTCAAGGCCCATCCTATCAGACATTATAATAATGTAACTCCGTCCTTTTATTCTGATTATGTATTCACCAAGCAAACTTACACTAAGTTGTCTTGTCAGTTGTCCTACAGTGAGTAGTTGGACAGACTGCTCTGAATATCTGGTCGATGGCCTAGAGTTTTCTTTGTAAATCATTAAGTTAGCATTCAGATGTTGTGGACATCCTTTTGGTTTCACTTTTTCCCACTATTTGTGTTAACTCTTGTTCATTCTTTAGGGCTCAGTTGAAATGTTACATCCTCACTGAGACCTGTTTATTGGTTTATGTGTTCAAGTGCCTAGAACAGTTTCTGGTACATAGTAGGCACTCCAACTCCTCAGTCTAAAATTCAACCTAACTCCTTTCACCTCACTTCCTCCCTTTCTGAGCTCTACTTTTTCTTGTAACCCTTATCACCATTATTTATCTGGCTCATCGACAAATCCCAAACGCCAAGAACAGTATCTGTCAAGTTTATAGGTGAAAAACTTGTTTAATTAATACCTTTGTTGTGTTTCATTCACGCTGTATACACAATGCCTGGATGAACAGATATTCTCAATACTGTTTAAAATACATCAATTGGATCAATACATGAATTGGATCAATTCCAATTCTAGAACCCTAAGAAGATTGGATTTTTGGCCAAAGTCGGTATCTTGGATAATAGTTAATTTATCAGGGTAAATGCCACTTTGCTATGTCTTGGTTAGGAATCCTTGTACATTCAGGGAATGGATGTTACAGGAACAGTATTGTAGGAATAGAGATGCAAAGGGAGGAACATTGCAACAGTTACTATTATGGCACATTTCGTACTTGCCAGACATGAATGCTTTACCCATATGAACATATTTAATCCTCTCAAGCATTCCATGGGGTCTGAGACAGTTGAAGCAGCTGGAAGTTAAACTACTTTGTCTAAGGTTATTTAGTTAGTAAGTGGCAGAGCTAGGGCTAAAATTTAAGCTCCTCTTTGCTATCCTGTCAAACTCTGCAACTAGAATACACTTTGCTATCCTGTCAGACTTCACAACTAGAATACACTTATTGTCTCCATTTAGGCTTCTTACTTACACACATCTGGTTTTTGCCAAGATCACTAATAACCTTCTTGATGCTGTTAACTCTAATAGATCCTTTCAATTCTTGGGTTATTTGCTCAATCTTTAGCATTTGTCACTATTAACCATTTGATGTCACCATTAACTTACAGTCATAATACCATATTTAAAAATTTTCATTTTATAGCTGGGTGGGTGCCTGTAGTCCCAGCTACTCGGGAGGCTGAAGCGATAGGATTGCTTGAGCCCAGGAGTTTGAGGTTGCTGTGAGGTATGATGCCACAGCACTCTACCCAGGGCCACAGATTGAGACTCTTGTCTCAAAAAAAATTTTTTTTTCTTTTCTTCTATTCTCACCTTTCTTTGGGAGCTCTGCCCGCTTTGCGGTCTCTATCCCTTAAGTGTTACTGTTCTTCAGGATTGCATCAGAGACTCTTGTCACTGAACTGTATCTGGACATAGGGTCCCCTACCAATGGCCTGTTTCCAGCTATTGAGCTCTGTCCCATTGGCTGTTTGATAACCATTTGATAGTTCAACAGTCAGAATGAACCAATTGTGTTCACTCCATACCTCTTCTTCCTATCAAATATGTCCTAGGAAATTTCTCCTCTTTCCATCTCTTTGCCAGACCAGAAGTCAGGCATAATATTAATAAAATGGCTAACACATATATATACTTTACATGCCAGACATTCTTTTAAACACTTTACATTGTGTTAGCTCATTTAATTTCGATGCTCTGGTGTAAGCCCTGTCATTATCACATATTACAGATAGGGGATCTGAGGCATAGAATAGTTAACTAATCTGTCTTATGTCATTCATCTGGCAAATTTAGAGATTTGGGACTTGAACGCTGGCAGTCTGGTTCAAGCTTGTAATCATATCACAAAGAACGTAATTCCTGACTTCTCTCTTTCATTTACCCAGTTACCAAATATTGTACAGTCTCCATTCTTAAGTCTCTAAGTGATGTCTCCAAAGTATAAGACCAATCTTCTACTTCCCTAAAACTCTTCAGCACCTCCCTCATGGCTCTCAGAATAAGATTCAAGCATTTAACTTTGATTTTAAGGCTCTATAATCAGACCATTATTGCTCCTGCCTTCTTATCTCCAGCTCCCCATTCTTACACATGTAAAAGTACCAGCCAGTGGAATTAAATTCTTTACATGGGACCTGTCTCCTTTTTCGACAAGCTGTTGCACATTGTTGGAATACTTTTCCTTACCCTTTTATGTCTCAGCTGCAATGTCACTTCCACTCACTAGAGTTAGATGGCCCTCTAATGTACATACTTTACACCTATTGCAGCATTTATGACAGTATATTTTAATTACCACCTTACTTACTTTTTAGTTTCACTGGATTGTGGGGATACTAAAATTTCCTTGAAGGCAGAGGCTAGTTCACCTTCTTAGTATCTTGCATATCCATTCTTTTCTCTCTCTGTCTGCTACTGTACTTCAAAGCTTCATTATCTCTAGCTTAGGCAACTGCATTAGTCTGTTAACTATGCTCCCTGCCCCCATCTATCCTTTGTTTAATTCATGCTCAATACCATAGAGGCAGTTTTGTATAATAGCTGAAGACGTTTCCCTGATTAAAACACTCCAGCTGCCTTTTAAAAAGGCCAGATATTTTAGGAGACATGAATTTGTATCCTCCCCTCCTTTATCCCCTTATTGCCCTGTGCCTGGTGGGTGCTCCATAATTACCTGTTGAATGCATGTGGAACTGTATCAAAGTCAGTCAAACAGAACAAAAACAAAGAGACTAACCAAAAAAAAAAAAATGTAGTCTATATACAGAGGCTTCCTAGGACCATGTAGCCATAGACTTGAGTGAATCTAGAAGACTAGTAACTTTTTCCTTTAGGAGAGCGTCCCCAGTACATGCCTTAGTATTAGATCACTCTTTGCCTTTGCATATGCTTGAAATATGCTACTCACATCTACCTGGTAAACTATCAGATTTGGAGACTCCATTCAACTAATCCTTTGTTAAACCTTTTCAGGGCTCAGCACCTGTGGCTCAGGCGGCTACGGCACCAGCCACATACACCTAAGGTGGCGGGTTCAAATCCCCAGCCTGGCCCGCCAAACAACAATGATGGCTGCAACCAAAAAATGGCCAGGCGCTGTGGCGGGCACCTGTAGTCCCAGCTACTTGGGAGGCTGAGGCAGGAGACTCGCTTGAGCTCAGGAGTTGGAGGTTGCTGTGAGCGTGATGCCATGGCACTCTACCCAGGGGGATAGCTTGAGGCTCCGTCTCAAAAAAAAAAAAAAAAAAAAAAAAAAAAAAACCTTTTCACACCAGCTGGGTATACTGGTATATGCTTGTAGTTCAAATTACTCAGGAGGCTGAGGCAGGACAATTACTTGAGCCCAGTAGTTTGAGGCTGTAGTGAGCTACAAATGACATCCCTGTACTCCAGCCAGGGTGACAGAGTGAGGTCCTATCTCTTAAAAAAACCCCAAAAACTAAGAACTAAAAACCTTCCCAACATTTCTAGGCAGAGAGAATGTAAATTGGTTCAACTTTTCTTTAGCAGAATTTATAAAATATAATTAACAAGATGAAAATATGAAGACTCTAACCTAGGGATTGTGCTTTTAGGACACTACTTATCTAAAGAATTTTGATTAATTATAGACTTGAATAACCCATTCCCAGTTCTTCAACCTGAAGGAAAATTATAAACATTCTAAGAAATAGAATAGAACGGTTTATTTAAGATCATAAGTAGTCAAAGTATTTCATTTTCATAACTAGTATTTTCAGCTTTTTGCCACTTAATACTTCACTAGCAACACTAACATGAATAATGTATAAAGGGTTCAAACATAATGAATTTGTTCATATTCTTTATATAATCCTGCACAATTCTGTTGCCTTTCCTGACATCAGGGCTTCAGCCTAACTCAATGTTGATCTAATAAAAGTTATGCTGCTAGTAAATTATCCCAAAGTCAAACAGGAATTATTTTGGAAGTATTATAAAGACACAAACCTTCCACAGAGATTTTCTTGAGTATGTTATTGATAACAGAAAAATTAGAAACAGGCTTGGCGCCTGGAGCTCAGCAGCTGGGGCACCAGCTACATACATTGGAGCTGTCAGGTTCAAACCCACAGGCCTGCCAAACTACAATGACAATTATAACAAAAAAATAGCCGGGCATTGTGGCAGGTGCCTGTAGTCCCAGCTACTTGGGAGACTGAGGCCTTAAGAGAATCTCTTAAGTCCAAGAGTATGAGGTTGCTGTGAGCTGTGACACAATGGCATTGTACTAAGGGCAACATAATGAGATAATCTCAAAAAAGAAAGAAAAAAAAACTAGAAACCTAAAATTACAGACTAAAAGACTGAGTAAACGGGTATATTTAACAATAGAATATTTTACAATCATTAAAGCTGATATAAAATATATATTTAAAGTTGAATGAAAAAACAGGATGATTACACTTTTGGGAGAGAAAAGTGTGAATGTATATGCCTGTATATGAACAGAAATAAAATGGGTATACTCAAAAATGTTAATTGTGATTAT